GTCCCTCACAAGGCCAGTCACAAGTCCTTTCACAAGGCCAGTCATAAGTCCCTTCACAAGTCCAGTCACAAGTCCCTTCACAAGTCCAGTCACAAGTCCCTCACAAGTCCAGTCACAAGTCCCTCACAAGTCCAGTCACAAGTCCCTTCACAAAGCCAGTCATAAGTAACAGGGTGAACAATGCCAAAGGAATGCTTTGGTCACATCTCATTATAGTTAGTGAATTGGCCTAAGACTGAATGACTTGTGATGGACTGAAATCCACCACCGTAACATTTCCACTTGTAACATTGATTGGAATCCTCTTGTTCTTGCATTTACCATGTTGAATGTATGAGAGCATCAGTAACAAAGAATAAACACCACAACCAAGCAGAAAACTAAATACCCATGTTAGGATTCTATGGGACTTTCTACTTCATATTTTCCTCAGGTTTTTAGACCAAGTTTACTTTCTATACATTCTCACCCATAAAATGAAATCTGTGAATTGTTTTGCATTTGTATCTATAGGAACGGATAGGTTTCCCTCATGTGTCCCCCATTGTAGAGTTGACTGGTGTTGAGCAGCTCCATGGATTAGCAGAGAGGATTGTAGGAACAGACTCACTGTAAGAACTCTATTCAAACACTATCCGTCTATTACATCATCTCTTACTTTAACTGCAGTTATTTTTGTAAAGTCATCTTGAGATGCACAATAAAGAACTCACTTGAGATGAGTTTAGAAGCTTACAGCTAAAGTTTGATATTTTTCATCTTTTACTTTGGTGGCAGAAACCCCAAATATGTAAATGTATAAATTGCCCTCAGATTTTGGCCATTGGATAGGTTTGGTTCAGTTTAAATCAACCAATTCTTGCATTTTTCACTCTGTGGAATTTAAGATAAATTTGACAATAATGAAAGTTGAAATGTTTTTCTCAGTTTCAATCCTTTTTTTCATCGTACAATAAGGTGGTCCAAATCTGATCACATGATCTTCTTGTATCTCATTGTCAGGAGATGGTGATTTGGCCAATTTAATTTCTTCAAGTACTAAAGCAGTGTTTATAATGTAAAACTGTACATTAAGATTTCTCCTATATTATACACAAAAAACCATGTAAGATTAGTCAGGTATCAAACATTATTACAGTTCCCATAGTTTGTTCTGTGACTTTTTGATCAACTATAGACTTAATTTGAATTTCTTAAGGTTTAAACTGGAAGGACTCAGCAGCGCTTGATGAAGAAATTATGATTTAAACCTGGGGCTTCAAGAAAGATTTGAGATTTCTGTTCAACAGAACCTGTTCCTTATGTTGAATAGTATGACTCTATAATGTTTTTCAATAATATTCTATCTAGTATTAAAACACTGATTTTTTTTGCTGTTTTTTTCATCAACAGAGTTTTCTTAGCAGAACAGTTTCAGCTTCTTCAGCCCCATCTTGAGTCTGTCATTCCATCATCCAAGAAACCATTCCTGCAACAGTTTTATTCACAGGTGCTCCTTGCATCCTTTAATTTTCTTAACAAGCCTAAGTGTGTTTTGTGCCTGATGTGTTTTCCATGTCCTAGCGACAGTATGACTTGCGTAATCAAAATATTGAGTAGTAGAATAATTGCCCTTTACGTATTCCTCAGTGCCAGGGCCACATTTGTTTTTAATATACAGATTCTTTAATCTCTGGGCTGATGAAGTCTTTATAGGTTTAGCTTATATTTATAAAAGATTGGCTTGCCAATCTTGTGGAATATCAGTATTTGATGCAGGCTGCAGTAAACTCGTTTACATTCACTAGGCATCGTAAAACAAAATCTCAATTACTAATGACAGTTTTGTGCAGTTATACCAAAATTGGCAGAATGTCAAACACATCTGCAGCTTCCTTGGACGGTAAATCATACAGCATAACATATCCAATGCACTGCTTTTTCCTGGCTTCAACGTTTCAACTGATCCTGCATGTTTCTGTCTGTCATATATCAAGTACTTGGCTATATTTGGAAGAGTACTTGATTTTGTTCTTTTAGACCGTGAGTGTAGCCAGTGAGTTACGTCGTCCTGTGTACCGCGGTGTAGCCTCCCGTTGTATTTTCTTTGAGAGAATACTACAACTCATGTCTACAGTCAAGTGGGACATCAAAGAAATCATGTCACAGCACAGCACTTATGTAGATATACTCCTACAGGTATATCCAATTGCATTCCTTGCTATTGTAAGTGATGTGAAAAGTACATCCAGCTAGTTTTGGTCCATCTGAGTGTCACTGAAGCAGTCTAAGTCAGCCAGTGAATCATGCAACAAAATGACTGTGAAATTGATTTTCTTTTTACCTGCCAATTTGGGAGCATTTGTGATCCTTGTCCAAATAAAAAAAAACATGAAGTCGTGTATGAAAACTGCATTCTCTTGTTTTTCAAATAAGCTGTTTGAAAAAGAAAAACTTAGCAGTTGTTTGAAACACAGAAACCTGCCCTAAGTAGGATGTAGTTCTGGGTCCTCCGCAATACTATGCATGTTCTACCATTGGTGTTTCAAAATGTTGCAGCAAACCATAATGAGGGCCATAGTGGTGATGTAAAGTCCATGATTGAAGCAGCTGTAAGTAATGCAGTTCATTCACATGAACATCTAGGCAAGTGATAATGCATTTGTTTTGACTCTTAAAGCTTGATGATATTGAATAATGGTCATGTATTGGAGTTTTATTGTCTTGTCTTGACAATAGAATGGTGTCAATCTGAGGTGTGCTTTAGCTAAATCACTGAATTCACTGAATATTAATTCTGTCACGCTTTGTTTTTCTTGACAGGATTTTGTGATATTTAGTGCACGACTAGATGAAGTGGGAAAGTGAGTATTTTCAGTGATTTTTTTCTGATTGTATTTGCAATATGTACTTTCATTTTAGGGTAAGGGAAACATTGTCAATGACAGCATGTCGGAACTATTCCACACTAGCAAAATCAACAAAGAATTACATAGCTGCTGGTTTTATGGTCAACTTTTTAATAAGTTTTAAAAAGGGAATTTTGCTAAACTCTACAAAACAGCAAATTCATAACATGGAAGCTGCAATGTTAAGCATGAATGTGCCTTGTAAAAAGTGCAGCGATATTGTTAAATACCACAGTACATGCACATTTTACTGATGTTGAAATAATGTAACCAAGGGATATTGTCCCAAGCTTGAAGTGTGATGTACCCTGTGGGATTCACCACAGGTTTGGAGTATTTGATATGCAATGTATATATCAAGTGACTCACAACTGAAATTTGATCATCTTTGCTAGGGTATAACATCAGGGCATGTTTGTGTGTTTCTGCTTGGTATTCAGATTTCTTGGCCTTTTTTACCCCTTTTACAGACGTGTCTCCATTCCAGTTCCAGTCTACAATATCTTGTGGGGTCATCTTGTGCGGTTAGCCAACCGCACATTTGTGGAGGGGTGAGGCAATATTTGAATGAATAATGAGACAGACTTTCAAACATGTGCCCATGATTGCTTAGGTAAAGTCCCCGATCATCTAAGTTCATTGTAGTGTATGTATTGTTGAAGCAGCTATCAATACAGGCAAGGTCAGGCGTTTCTTGTGGCACTGAAAACACTTGTTGTACATGTAGTTTTACAGTTTGACAATGCAGTTTCATAATTCTTTCCTTCTTAACAAGGCTGTTGTGTCTTAGTAAGCACACATATCAAGGGAGATTCAAACAAAAGGATGTAGCCTGTGCTAGGCTACCATATTGCTTTCAGGCTTCTGTGTTCTATTCGCTTTTGTCTGCCACACTTTCTCTGAAACATATTGCCTTGCATCAGCAGGGCAATAAACTTTATCAGTTATAGAAATGACTGAGTGTTGTGTTGCTTGTACTAGTTGCTGTGTTCTTTGAGAAGAATTTCACTTGTCTTTCTGCTGACAAGGTTTGCCAGTGCTAAGAAATGCAGCAATGAGGGACGTGCATTGATGCAGCTGGACTTCCAACAGTTCCTCCTTAAATTGGAGAAACTCACCGAAGTTAGGTAGGTATTGCCGTGTTAATTGGCACTGTTTCACCAATAAAACTCATCACCACTTGCAGTGCCAGTTCTTTGTTTGGTTAACAAAATTTGACAGGCCTCGCTGCAGAAAACAAGTATTAAAATGGAGAATATTCCTAGTGAAGCCAGTCCAGAATGTTATACAATTACCAAAGGCTGGTCTTGTCCAAAAGTACCTGTATGTTTATCATATAAAAGGAACAGTTTGTTTTGCCTTTTCCAGGTGCAACTAAACATTGTGGCATGTGACTCTTCTCTTGCACAAATCAAGTCCCAACTATGGCTTTATTTCACAGTAGCATTTGATTTGTCTTTCTTTGTATTTGGTGCTTCAAATTCCAGTCTTGAATAGAGATAACCTACTTGTGAATCAATGCAGATCATCTGTGCTGAAATACACTTTTAAATTGTAGGCGTAATTGAATCCTGTATCCTTCATTTGGATTATTTCAGACCTATTCCTGACAAGGAGTTTGTTGAAACCTACGTTAAAGCATATTACCTTTCTGAAGCCGACATGGAACAGTGGATTAAAGACCATCGGGTAAGTTATGCATACTACTTTTCTGATAAAGATTATCAGCAAACTGAATAAAATTTTGAATGGTTCAATGTTATATCTGTGATA